CTCTCTCTCTCTCTCTCTCTCTCTCTCTCTCTCTCTGTGTGTGTGTGTGTGTGTGTGTGTGTGTGTGTGTGTGTGTGTGTGTGTGTGTGTGTAGATATATATAAATTGGTTGTTTGGTTGATTGATTGGTGATCTGTGTTGTTGCTGTTTTTTCCCTGCAGTCCAGGGTTGCATCCCTCCCAACCGCTGACCCTGACCGCCGACCGTATTGCAGCCCACCAGTAGGGCCCACCGGTCGGAGGTCTGCCGACCAGTCAGAAAACAACCATCCACTGTTTTTTTTTTCAAATCTGAGTTGGGGGCTGTACTGCGCTTGCGAGTACAGCCCAAATCCGCTGAGAAACTTTTGGGGATTGGGGGGGGTATGGGGAGGGGTGGGGTTGGAGTATAGGGGAGGTATAAGGGCCACCAACCGTCGGGGGGTGCAACCCTGCTGCAGTCACTTTTCTGTACGTTAAATTTGTCATCCTTGCTTCTGTGTCAGGTCGTCACACGATTGATTGATTGATTGGTTGGTTGGCTGGTCAGTTGATTGATTGATTGATTGGTTGATTGGTTGGTTGCCAGTTGATTGATTGATTGATTGGTCACCCAACCAACCAACCAACCAACCAACCAACCAACCAACCAACCAATCAATCAATCAATCAATCAATCAATCAACCAATCAACCAACCAATCAACCAACCAATCAACCAACCAGCCAACCAACCCGCCAATCAATCAATCAATCAATCAATCAATCAATCAATCAATCAACCAACCAATCAATCTTTTGTCGACATCTGCTGCCTTCTTCAGTGCTATTGAAACTTCAATAATGTTGTCAGTTGTAGTGGAACTTGAGGACCCCATGTGGGGTGTCAAAATGCTGCCAAAATTCCGAATTTCTGGTTGATTGCTTGATGGATTGTCGGTGTGATTGATTGATTGATTGGTTGGTTGATTGATTGATTGATTGATTGATTGATTGATTGATTAATTGATCGATTGATTAATTGATTGATTTGTAAACTTCGTTTCCTGCTCTCTTTGCCACCAGGATGACGAAGAACAGGACTGATTCTGTGAAGAGGCAGTTCACAGACTTGGGCTTTATGGGGGAATCAAAGAAAGGGAATAAGAAGCACCAATGCAATTATTGTGACCAGATGGTGTTTGGCACTGCAACCAGAGCCAAATGGCATTTTGAAAAGGCATCGCTCTGCAAAATTGAGTTGTTGAGAGGGATTCTGTCGAAGGAGGACAACCAGCGGAGGGAAAGGAGGAGTTACAACATATTTTTATATCTTGTATTTAATCAACAACTTTGAGGTGATGCTCCACAAAGAGTTCATTACATACTTGCGAGGCATACGTGAGGTGCACTGCGCAGTGCGGTGCACACTGCAGGGTGTGCAGATCGCAGATGCACGAAAAGAGAAAAAAAAAAAAAAGCCCGTGTATACACGCTGGAGAGAGAGAGAGAAAGAAAAGAGCCCTTTGCCCCCTTTCACAGAGGAAAGCCCTGCCCGCACTTCAAAAAGTTCCCTGCCAACTTCGCAAGGATCTCGTCAGCAGGAGAAGAATAGTCTCTGGGCTTGTAGTAAGGAGGGAGCAGGCCAGCTATATATTGTGTAGCTTTGAATTCAGGTCCGTGCTTCAGCAGTTATAGGTTACTGACTTACTAACTCGGCATGTGCTTTTCAGGGCTTCACTCCACTACTCACCAAATGTGCAAAACTAGAATTAATATTCTCCTAGAAACTGGAACCATACAAGCCATATGTTTTTTTTTTGTGTTAGTGCTGATGAGTGGAGCGAGGCCCTTAGGGCCACTGCACGTAAGAAAAGGAAAAACAAAGAAACGAGACAGCTACTGTAATGTTTGTTCATAAACCAATCACTCTTGGAACACAGACCTGAATCCGAGTCCAGAATATATTGCTGGACTGCTCGTTATCCTCCAGGAGTACGACGAACGTCCACTCCACTACTCACCAAATGTGCAAAACCAGAATTAATATTCTCCTAGAAACTGGAACCATACAAGCCATTTGTTTTTCTTTTGTGCAAGTGCTGATGAGTGGAGCTAGGCTCTTAGGGTCACTGCACGTAAGAAAAGGAAAAACAAAGAAACGAAACAGCTACTGTACTCTTGGAACACAGACCTGAATCCGAGTCCAGAATACATTGCTGGACTGCTCGTGATCCTCCAGCAGTTCGATGAACGTCCTTCCAAATGCATGCGATCCTTGCTAATTCTTTGCAGGGGACCCTTTGGAAAACAGACTAGATCCAACGAGGAGTACGATGTGGCTCCAATTTTATTTTTTTCTGAGCACTTACAATTTTTAAAAGGGAGGCACAGATTTGATTACCGCAGCTGGCCCTTTATATTTATGCTTTTTTTAATTCATAATTGCGCTGCATCACGTCCGCGCGCACGTGTGCATGTGCACTATGCGGCGCATGTGCGCAACTTGTCTGCACGTGATGCACCGCATGTATGATCTTGCAATTCTACACCATTTCCCGGATGCTTTTGGACTTTTCACTCCTTTTCATGCTGTTCTAGTTTTCTAGGGTTGCTTGCCACCCGGCCATGACCTGACCTTACCAGAATGTGCGGGTGGGGAAACGAGCAGATGAAAGCACGTCACCTGAGCAGGTTAAGTAGCTGCTCAATTATGAACTCCTTTGGCCTATAAGAAATAAAAGGAAAAAGATGAGAACCTTTCCAGAAATGTAAGCTTAGTCTACCAGACCTTCCCATCCTTCAAAGATCATCCCAGGGGTACAAGGGGACAGCAAACACAAGATGGCTTCATGTAAACCTACCTGGCCGGTACCTCTTCTTCAGACTCCTGAGGTGCCCTTGCTGCAGGGACAATGTTCAGCAGGCCAGCACATCCAGACACAAACCCACAAATCTCAATGCGAATGTACCACAAGAACCAGTTTGAAAACATCTAAGATTATGAACAGTGACACACACAGAGCAAGAGAGCGGGAGAGAGACAGACAGACACACAGACACACAGACAGAGAGACAGAGAGACAGAGAGACAGAGTGACAGCGAGAGAGAGAGAATGTGGAGAACAATACAAGAAACGAAAAAAAAGAAAAGAAGGGAATAAACCAAAGAATCAAAGACCACGAAAGCTTCACAAATGAAAGCTCTCTCTCTCTCTCTCTCTCTCTCTCTCTCTCTCTCTCTCTCTCTCTCTCTCTCTACCGCGCACCTATTCAGTCAATGGCCTTCTTTATATGAATGTTTCGCAGCAGACTGTAACTCGACTACTCCGAAACCCTAACCCGAAATAAGATGAGAACATGACGATGAGGAATTAAGAAAAAAGAAAAAGAAATGAAAAAATAGAAAAGAAGGGACAATATGAAAGAATGAAAGACCATGAAAGATTCACAAATGAAAGCGCAAGTACTCTCTCTCTCTCTCTCTCTCTCTCTCTCTCTCTCTCTCTC